AAACTCCGTCTCAAAAAAAAAAAAAAAAAGAGCCAAATACATAGGGTCAATGCCAAAAGAGATAACAGTGGATACAATTGTGTAATTCCTTCAGCACCACCTGGGTTGGGGTCTCAACGGCAGGGAGGCAAGTTTGTCCTGACCAGTTCCCTGCTTGACTTTTTCTTTAGCTTAGTAATTTTTGGGCCACAATATTTTCCTTTCACGAATTCTGTTAGCAGGAGAGTTGTTTTCTGTAGGACTCACAGAGATTCAACTTTGTACTCCTCCTTTAGAGGGGTACATCTCTAACTTCTTTTGTCGTGCCTTAGGGACTCATGCTTCTGAGTGCATTCATAAAAATTCTAACAGAAGGCCGGGCGCGGTGGCTGAAGCCTGTAATCCCAGCACTGTGGGAGGCCGAGGCGGGTGGATCACGAGGTCAACAGATCGAGACCATCCTGGTCAACATGGTGAAACCCCGTCTCTACTAAAAATACAAAAAATTAGCTGGGCATGGTGGCGCGTGCCTGTAATCCCAGCGACTCAGGAGGCTGGGGCAGGAGAATTGCCTGAACCCGGGAGGCGGAGGTTGCGGTGAGCCGAGATCGCGCCATTGCACTCCAGCCTGGGTAACAAGAGCGAAACTCCGTCTCAAACAAACAAACAAAAAAATTCTAACACAATAATGTTTAGCAACCTCTGCTTCCAGTGCAGGTATTCTGCGACTGAACGACTGCTTCAAACCGTATGGTAATTTGGATTTGTAGCCTTTAGGAGAATCCTAAATAATACTTTTAGCTTGAGCTCCCTATTATTTAGCTTGAGCTTCCCAAAATTTGAAATGATATTTTTCCAAATTCTTGAGTGATTAGTTACAGACACTAGTCTCCAGAAATCTCAATATGGCTTCTAAGGCTAGGTGAGACCCATCCTCTGCCCTAGAAGAACGCGCTTTTTTTTTTCTTTTTTTTTTTTTTCCAGACGGAATCTGACTGCTACCCATGCAGTGCTGCGATCTCAGCTCACTGCAACCTTCGCCTCCCAGGTTCAATCGATTCTCCTGCCTCAGCCTCTCGAACAGCTGGGACGATAGGCACGCGCCACCACGCTCAGCTAAATTTTGTATTTTTAGTATACACGGGGTTTCGCCATATTGGCCAGACTGGTCTCGAACTACTGACCTCGTTATCCACCCGCTTCCGCCCCTCAAAGTGCTGGGATTACAAGCGTGAGCCACCGCGCCCGCCAACGGCTCGCTTTCTAAGGAGAGCCCCTGCCTGACTGTGGGCTTTTCCTGCAGACTCGCCTCCGTGTGGCGCCCTATTCACCACCTTGGAACCTGGGGAACTCTGTTACCCAGAAAGCTCTGGTTGCCCGTCAGCGCGGCAGAGCCAATGAGGGCTCGGAAGGAAGGTGTTTCTGTTTGTGCGCGGAACGAAAGGCCGGGACTTCCGGCGTCTCTGGTGACCGTCATGTTGGTCGGTGATCGGCGTGTTTTCCGGGTGAGGGTACCCTGAGCGCCGGGTGGGACCGCGGTGACTGGGCTCAGAAGTGGAGCGGAATCGTCCTCGCGGCACAGAGGCAGCTCTGCAGCCCCGTGACGGCGCTCGCTGCCCCCGGGCCGCACCTTCCCCGGAGTGTCCGATGGCGGCGGCGGCGCCGAGGATCCCGGCTCAGGTAATTGTGGCGCCTTCTGTACCTCAGGTCACCTCATCGTCACCGAGGCCCTAACGCAGCGAGGAGCAGCTCCTGCTCAGGGTCTGTAGCGATTCCCAGCGCAGGGACAGCGAGGCGTTCGCAGGGGAGGTCCCTGTGTAACGTCCAGTGCGTTCGCCTTGCCGTCTGCCTAGACCGCCGGTTTATGAAGACCGGGTAACCGCAGTGGAGAAAGTAATTCACGCGGAGCCGGCTGTGCGGGAGACCAGAGCTGTATTATTCTTTAAATCGGTCTCCCCGAGCGTCCCGGGATCAGAGTTTTCAAAATTAATTTGGCGGACAGTTGCTTGGGAAGTGGGGCGTGTTGATTGGTCAGCTTGGAGGTGGATTCACAGGTGGTTGAAGTGAGTTTTTCTTACTGTTTTCTGTTCTGGGTGGGATGGCAGAACGGACTGACCCAGATTACCGGCCTGGGTGGTGTCCGCTGACCCGCCCAGTGCAAGATCTGCAAAATACCTCCAGCACTGAGATTAAGTTTTACAGTAGCGATGTGATCTTCAGGAGCAAATTGGGGCGGTTCAGACTGTTGGAGCCAGAAGCTGCATGACCCCTAAACCGTAATTTCTAATCTTGTAGCTAATTTGCTAGTCCTGCAAAAGCAGGCTGGTCCCCAGGCAAGAAGGGGGTCTTTTGAGGAAAAGGCCATTATTATCAATTTTGTTTCAGAGTCAAACCATGAACTGAATTCCTTCCCAAAGTATATTCAGCCTATGCCCAGGAATGAACAAGGACAGCTTAAATGTTAGAAGCAAGATGGAGTCGGTTAGGTCTGATTTCTTTCACTGTCATCATTTCCTCAGTTATTTATAACTTTGCTAAGGCGGTTTCACTTGCATCTGACACACGTAGGATGCGGTGGGGAGAGAGACAGGCACAAGGAGGGTCTCAGGCAATGGCTTGGAGATGGACAGAACCGAGAGTATGGAACAGGGTCCACAGGTGCCTGTTGAGAACAAAGTGTGAGGCGGAGCTTCTCCTAGAAGAGCAAGCAGGCTGAGGGCTGTGCATTCATTGTGAGGATGCTAGAAGCCATGGAGAGTTTTGAAGAAAGTCGGGACATGATCCAAATCCAGGCTCTTAAGGTTTCCCAAAGGGCATGAGGACTTTGGGGTCTTGGGAGGTTGAATGCTTTTTATAGATGACATACGTAGTAGAGATGACATTTTGCACTGAGACAAGCAGGTCAGACAACCAGCCTAAGGATCACCTGGCCCCAGGGACAAGAAAGGGTTCCAGGAGGCCTGAGCTTATCAAGTCCTGTAACGTTTTTGTAATGTCTGCCCTTCCCCTCAGGCATTCCTGGGTTCAGAAGCACTTAGGGAACCTACATTGGGAAGTGGAGGGTGTTCCATTGGTCCTGACCCCCTCCACAGGTTCTCTAGCTTGTGGTGTCCTGGGACTCTTAAGTGTCATGTTTTCAGTCCTTTGATCTGAGGACCCTGTAGAACTTGTAAACCCACCATACTAAGTCCATGGCAGATTTTATGGAGATAATCCCATTTCTGTCAACCAATATAAACACACTTGGAAGATTAACTCCAGAGTTGCTACCAGGTTGTGCAATGCTTAGAGATAAAACTGATCAAAGTTAGGAGGTTATTTTACCACAGTTCTGTCTGGCTACAGGCTTCATCTGGTTGGACCTTGGTGTACAGATTGTGGGTTGAGGGAAGAGGAAGAAAGGTCAGAGATAAGGCTCCTGCCATAATCCAGGTGAGGGTTAATGGGTTAGATACGTGGCATATCACATGGGTCTGGATTCAAGATTCACTTTTTGTAAAGAGGCAACTAGGTTTTCTTTTTTTCTTTTTTCTTTTTTCTTTTTTTTTTCCCAATCAATGCATATTTGCCAAATTTTTTTTTTTTTTTTTGAGAAGGAGTTTCGCTCTTATTACCCAGGCTGGAGTGCAATGGCGCGATCTCGGCTCACTGCAACCTCCGCCTCCTGGGTTCAAGCAATTCTCCTGCCTCAGCCTCCTGAGTAGCTGGGACTTCAGGTGCGTGCCACCATGCCCAGCTAATTTTTGTATTTTTAGTAGAGATGGGGTTTCACCATGTTGACCAGGATGGTCTTGATCTCTTGACCTTATGATCCACCTGCCTTGACTTCCCAAAGTGCTGGGATTATAGGCGTGAGCCACCGCGCCCAGCCGGTGAATTTCCTTCTTGTCACCCAGGCTGGAGTGCAATGATTTGATCTCGGCTCGCTGCAACCTCTGCCTCCTGGGTTTAAGCACTTCTCCTGTCTCAGCCTTCCCAGTAGGTGAGATACAGGTGCCACCACACCCAGCTAATTTTTGTATTTTTAATAGAGATGGGGATTCACCATCTTGGTTCGACCGGTCTTCAACTCCTGACCCCAGGTGATCCACCCGCCTTGGCCACCCAAAGTGCTGGGATTGCAGGCATGAGCCACTGTGCCCAGCTAAGACAGTAGGTTTTCTAATTTGTATAATAAGGGCATGAAAGAGAAATCGGGCATGAGCCAGGGTTTTTGATCTTAGCAACTGTAGCCATGGATGCTGTGTCAGCTGAGATGAAGTTGATATTGACATAATAATGTGGATATCAAGACAGTTGTTTTGGCCATATGAAGAGTCAGAGACCAGTAAGTGGCTGCATCAAATGGATAACTAGACTTACAGGACAGGGTATCTGGAAAGTTATTTCTACTGGAGACATCCAATATGTGAATGCTAACTGGTAAATACGGTAAGTTAGTTATGGATCACATTTAGTAGGAGGGCATGCTTCAGATTATGGTGGTAAATCTTTTTTTTTTTTTTTTGAGACAGAGTTTCTCTCTTGTTACCCAGCCTGGGGTGCAGTGGCACGATCTCGACTCACTGCAACCTTCACCTCTCAGGTTCAAGCTATTCTCCTGCCTCAATGAGTAGTTGGGATCACAGGCATGAGCCACCACGCCCGGCTGCTTTTGTATTTTTAGTAGGGATAGGGTTTCTCTATGTTGGTCAAGCTGATCTTGAACTCCCGACCTCAGGTGATCTGCCCACCTTTGCCCCCAGAGTGCTTGGATTACAGGCGTGAGCCACTATGCCCGGCCAGTTGTAACTGTTTACCACTGTTTGGACTCACAATCGTTTTGGGAGTGCCTGGAAAGTTTCATTAAGCCTAGCTCATATGGGCAGGGAAAAATATGCTCCTGTGTGATAGTCGGTTTGGTTTTGTTCACAAATGCAGGGGCTTTGCTTTAAATGGCATTGGGTGGACAGGGGAAGGCTGCTAGAGCTGAGGTGTCAGCTGGTGCAGCACGGAAGTGGAAAAGGGTCATGGATATCTGAAGCCACTCATGGTTCTATGTGGCTATGGAGTCATTCAGGTAGACACTTACAGGATGATTTGGGACTACCATGCTATGGAATCCATGGAAATTCTGTATTAATATTGAATTCTATTTGTATTTGTCAAGCATACTCTGGATGCTTATTCACATTTTGGCGTAAGATCAGAACTGAAGGCCCAATATGATATGTTACTTTGACATCTTGTGATAGTGGGACAACCTTAAAAGGTGTGAGTACAAATCTTATTCCCACTCTTCTCTCTTAGATAATTTATCCTAGCCTAGCAACCCTTTTGATCAAGGGGTTGAGGCAGGGTTCCATGTTATTATACTTTGTAGTGGGATTAAATTCCGTCCTTACCACCAGAGTTATGGAAACAAACCATTTGCATACTCCCAAGAGAATCATGGACCATTATACCCTCTTCATCTTACAAAATAATTTTATTTGTGGGGGCTGGGCGTGGTGACCCATGCTTATAATTTCAGCATTTTGTGAGGCCAAGGCAGGTGGATCACTTGAGGTGAGGAGTTCAAGAGCAGCCTGGCCAACATGGTGAAACCACATCTCTACTAAAAAAAATACAAAAATTAGCACAGCTGTAGTCCTGGCGGCTACTTGGAAGGCTAAGGCACAAGAATCACTTGAACCTGGGAGGCAGAGGCTGCAGTGAGCCAAGGTCATGCCACTGCACTCCAGCCTGGGTGACAGAGCTAAACTATGTTTCGTTAAAGAAAACAAAAAACAGGCCGGGCGCGGTGGCTCAAGCCTGTAATCCCAGCACTTTGGGAGGCCGAGGCGGGTGGATCACGAGGTCAAGAGATCGAGACCATCCTGGTCA